GGTGAGAGAGTGTGAGCATGCAGGAAAAACTACCACTTATAAAACTCTCAGATCTCGTGAGAATTCACTATCATAACAGCATGGGGGAAATTGCCCCATAATCCAGTCACTCCCCTCCCTCGACACATGAAGATTACAATTTGAGATGAGATTTGAGTGCGGACACAGAACCAAATCACATCAGAGAGAAAGGAAGTAGTTGATGAGGTCTTCCAGAAAGTTCAGAAACTGGATTTGGAACAGAATTGGAGTATTCCAACCAGAGTCCTGACAAAAGATTATGTGCTTTAATTCAAAATATTCCTCATTGCTGTGTTGAAAATTAAACATAGAATATATGTTTCAAATAAGAAAAAAACAGAAACCACTAGAAAGTTTTTTGATCGTCCAGGAAAAGTGGAAATTTGCCTTACTAGATGATCTTGTTATACCAACCTTATTCTATATGGTGATTTTTATACATTGCTCTTTCCTCCTTGTTAACATTTTCTTTTGGAATTGTTGGATCTCTGGTCATTAATGAGATAGTATAATATTTATAGTTTCTTGTACTGCTTTCTTCTGGTTTTTCTATTATTATACAAGACATATAAAATTAGTTTCAGATTTTTTCTTTTTTATTTTCTGAAATAATTTATTAAAAATTGGAGTGACTTTCTCAAGTCTTTTTGATAAAAGTCACTTCCGAAATCATCTGAATTTTTTATCCTCTTTGTGGAAATGTTTTAAAGGCTTAAAAACAATTTCCTGTTTCATCCTGAGCCAGTTTTAGTAGGTTAAAGTTTATAACATTTTAAGCATTTTATCTTATTTTAAATTTATTCACCCATTTTTACAGCATTCTTTTCATATATTTGATCTGTTTTACTTACAATCCTCCCTCTTTCCTACCTAATATTTTCTGTTTATGTAAACATTTCTGTCTTATCAAAATTTTCTCTTGCCTATTCATCCATTTTCAAACTTTTATTCTGTTGAACATTTTTAAACATATTTTCATATATATTAATAAATATTTTATCCTAGTTTATTGTTTTAATTTATGGGTTAATATTGTTTTTTTCTTTTTTCAAAATTATGTTAGATGTTTAGCTTACTAATATTTGGCCACTTTATTAAATAATCAAAAAATAATTTAGTTCTATTTCCATATTCACTGCATCCCACAGATTCAGATAATGCAATTCTAATTTCTACTGATTTCTAGTATGACTCGTTAAATATTTGAAATTAAAAATAACTTCTAGGCCATGTGTGATGGTTCACGCTTGTACTTCTAGCACTTTGAGAGGCTGAGGCGGGTGGATTGCTTGAATCCAGGCATTTGAGACCAGACTGGGCAACATGGCGAAACCCCATCTCTATAAACAAATAAGTAACTTAGTTTGTCTCATCCTAACGTATTCCAAATTAACATACACGTTAATACAAACAAAATTTGCAAAATTTACAATGAGATACAACTATACATCTATACAAATGGCTTTTTGAAAAGAAAGAGACTACTGACATTATCAAGTTTTGGTGAGAATCCAGAGAAACTGGAAGTTCATACATCCTCGTGAAGAATAATAACTTTACAGTAACTTCAGAAAGAAGTTTGGCAGTTTATAACATAATCATACATGTGCCCTGTGATCCAGCCACTCTACTCCTAGATAGTAGTTGTACATTAATTGGATATAATTATAGAAATTATAAATAATTATTAATCATATAAAGAAAAACATGTTTACATTAAAAAATTTAGTGGATTTTTTTGTTTGCTTCTTTTTGTTTTTTGAGATGGGAGTCTTGCTCTGTCACCCAGGCTGGAGTGCAATGCCATGATCTCAGCTCACTGCAATCTCCACCTCCTGGGTTCAAGCAATTATCCTGTATCAGCCTATCTAGTGAATAGCTGGGGTTACAGGCACCCACCACCATGCCTGGCTAATTTTTGTATTTTGGTAGAGACTGGGTTTGCCATATTGGCCAGGCTGGTTTCCAACATCTGACCTCAAGTGATCCGCCCACCTCGACCTCCTAAAGTGCTGAGATTACAGGCTTGAGCCACCATGCCCTGCCTTTTAGTTAATTTTATAGTGGCATCATCCATCACCAAAAATTGGAAACAACAAAGAGATTTTGAAGGTGAATAGATAAGCAATCTGCAATTTATGACACAATAAAATATGACTCAGCAATAAAATGTGATAAACTGAATATTCAGACAACAAAATGATAAATAATTTTACTTATGCTGGTAAGGTAGCAAATTCAAAAGTCTAGATACTAAATTATTTTATTTATATGTCATTCTGGAAAGTCAAAACTATAGGAACAGAAAATGTCCTTGCGAACTGTGAAAGAGTATTGTTAGAGTGCATGCTTCAGTTTGTTTTAGTTTTACAGTAATGGATTATTCAGGGTTCTTCAGAGGGACAGAACTAATAGGACAGACCTATATATGAAAGGAATTTTATTAAGGAGGATTGGCTCACATGATCACAAGGCAAAGTCCCTTGTTTGGTCATCTGCAAGCTATTACCTATCATAGAACATAGAAAGAAGCCAGTAGTGGCTCAGTCCAAGTTCCAAAGCCTGAAAAGGAGGGAAGTCAACACTGAAATCCTCAGTCTGTGGCCGGAGGCATGAGAGCCCATGGCAATCCACTGACGTAAGTCCAAGAGTCCAAAGGTCGAAGAATCTGGAATCTCATGTTTAAGGGCAGGAGGAGCAGAAGGAAGCATTCAGCACGGGAGAAAGATGAAATCCAGAAGATTCAGCAAGCCAGCTTCTTCCACCTTCTTCTATCTGCTTTGTTCTAGTCATGCTGGCAGCCAATGGTGCCCACTCACATTGAGGGTGGGACTTCCTCCCCCTGTCCACTGACTCAAATGTCAGTCTCCTCTGGCAACACCCTCACAGATGCCCCTAGAAACAATTCTTCATCAGCTATGTAGGCATTCTTCAATCCAATCAAGTTGACACCTAATATTAACCATCACAAGTAACTAATTACCTCGTTTTACATGATACCCGTTTTATCCATGATAATTATTTTCCCTAAACATTGATTTGGTCTGGTACTGGAAATATTACATCAGCTATCTTTGGTTTGTTTAGCACCACATGGATCTAATACATATCTAATATATCCACCAGTGTACTACTGAGGTCACATGATCCAAGGTGAAGAAAAAAGAAACAAAATTTTCTTAAAGGATTCAAGAGATTGAAACTCAACACTCATACATAAATTGAAACCCAACACTCACACATAAATTGTGGTCACATGATCCAAGGTGAAGAAAAAAGAAACACAACTTTCTTAAAAGATTCAGGGGATTGAAACCCAACACTCACACATAAATTAGTATCTGATCACTTTCCCTAGACTGGAAACAGTAAACTATCCTGGTGCATTGGGTGGAAGACTACTCAAGAAGTTCCTCCCCAGTGGTGGAGTACTACACTAAGTACTGCTGAAGATATTAAGTTAATCATTTGGATTTAGAATGAATCTACTCTATTTCTAAAGTCTAAATTCATAGAACTATGGACATTCTCAGATTCAAAGAATAATACAGCTAGAATCCCTTCTCTACATTATATTCACTTAGAGGGGTTGGGGGAAGGGACAATCTTGAGATGTACAGAAGAGTTTTTGTTTTTTTCTTTTCTTTTGGAGACAGATTCTTGCTCTGTAGCTCAGGCTGGAGTGCAGTGGCACCATCTCAGCTCACTGCAACATTGGACTCTCTGAGTCAAGCAATTCTTGTGCCTCAGCCTCCTGAGTAGCTGGGACCACAGGCGTGTGCCACCATACCCAGTTAATTTGTTGTATTTTTGTTATAGACGGGGTTTTGGCATGTTTCCCAGGCTTGTCTGGAACTCCTGAGCTTGGGCAATTCTCCCAAGTCACCTCCCAAAGTGCTGGGATTACAGGCATGAGCCACTGCACCTGGCTGAGATGTACAAGAGATATCTTGAGTGACTCTTGCAAGTAAGTGAGTTGCAGCCCACACAGCAGTCACTGAGTTCTTGTAATTTAAACATGTCCCAGAAAGGTAACAGAATCTCATTGAATGCGGCATTTTGGTTATTACTTATTTGTCAAAGCTTTCTTAGTAAATTCAGAAATTTAAAATTCTCAACAACTGTCTTTTCATATCTCATGTCATCCCCAAATGCTTTAAAGTTATATGTGGTAGAGTGTAAGAATTGAGGGGGAATCAGTATATAGCCTTTTTTTTCAGGAATTTTATATGTATCATACAGTCTTCCATGCTGTACATATAAATACTACTTTTATTTCATCATTAAAATGACTATTTGTTGGTTATAATTCACTAGGTGAAAGTGATTCTCCTCGCACCTGTAAATGTTATTTAGTTTTACTCTGTTTTTTATTGCTAGAAAGATACATTATTGGTGGACCTATTAAAAACAATAGATCAAAAGAGAATGATGGTGACTAAACAATGAATATAGGTAGGAGAGTAAACAATGTCAGAAGGGATTTTTTTAATATTATAAGATCAAAAAGTAGATGACAAGATATTTAAATGTTTAATGTAAAAACTCTCTTAGGCAGTAGAATCTCATGGGCATTCACATGACAGCAGAGTAAATAGAAAAGTTAGACTAGGAGAAAAAAGCAACTTTCCTAAAAAAATTTGGAAAAATACGAAAAAAAAAAAAAAAAGAAAAAAAATACTGCTAATAAAAAAAAAAAAAAAAAATTTTAGCAATTTATTCCCTAAAAAAATTTGGAAAAATACGAAAAAAAAAAAAAAAAGAAAAAAAATACTGCTAATTTATTACCACTGTGAGAAGCTGTATTTTGGTTAACTTCTGAGTTTATCATATTCCTCTTGACTTGGTTTTGTAAAATAACAGTGAATATGTAATATTATATCAAAGCATAAAAAAAGTTTTCAAATCATTTACATCATAATGAGAGAACTCTAATGGTTTCTGGCAATCAGACTAAATCTCCCTAGCACATTTTTTACCTATATAAAGTAGACGTAGAAATCGATTCTGAGGAGGGTAAGCACTGTGTTGCATCAGATGAGGCCTCTGACAAATCATAAAGGAAGCTATACTTGAGCAAGAAGAAATGAATCATTGGTTCAAGCACAGAAGTTTTCAAGGGACTTCGGGAGAATAAGATTTTTAAAGTGTGTTTCATCACGACTCAGTGTTCTACCTTTTTTCTATTAGGTCCATCATCTTTAGATGGGGAATTACTGAGGATGTGAACCCCGATGAATTCCTCAACATTTGCAATGGTCTCAAATCTGATCCTCAGTATGGTCAGCCCTCAATTGAAGGAGATGAGAGTATCTGTAAGGTTTTCAGATTTTTCATGCTTGGTTACGAAATGGTAATTAGGCAGTCTTTTTTCTTTCAATGTATTGCAGGTGTGTAGGAATAACAAAATTGATGTCAATAGTCCTTACACTTACAAAGAATATTGCTATAACTTCTAAGTCCACTGTGCCTATCAAATGACAAGATTAACACAGAGCCGCTGCATCCTCCTCCACCTGGTCTCTATTCTTACTCACCGCAGCTTTTGCTCTGTCCCACCAGGATCTTGAAGCATAAGCTACAAACATAATTTTTCTTCCATCTAGGGAAATGAGTTGGTGATTTAGAATCCCACAAAAGTTATTCACTGGCGACTGGCAACCCCCTGGAGGATATAAACTTTCAGGCAGTTCAGATTTTTTGCTCCCGTGGGTGAACCAGCTTGAAAAGACAGTATTGTAAAGAAAGCTGCAAGTGGAAGAAAGCTGCAGTGACTGAGGGATTGATATGGAATCTTGCAAATATAACCAAAGGGACCTAGGTGCCATCCTAACACTGCCAGGCTGCAGAGTCATTGTTACCACAGGTGTCGCTATGAGATGATTTATTGTTGAATATTCTTAACATATTTTTCCCACAATTGGAGAGAAAAGGGAAGAACAAACACTCAATTAAGTTTCCTGTTGGAATTGGAATATACTTTTCTTTAACTTTCACAAATCAAAGCAAATTGCATGTCATTAGCTAATACTAAGCAGCTAAGAGAAACAACATCTACATGTAAAGAGGGTAAATTGATAAAATCATTATGCCATAAAATTGGTGGAAAGGTCATAAGATCTAAGAGATGTTACAAACTTCATATGCTCTTTAAAACATATTTATTGAGGTATAATTGATATACAACAAACTGCACATATTTAAAGGGTTTGACAAGTTTGATAAGTTTTGACACATGTATACATCCATAAGGCATCACCAAGATAATAAATGTGTATATCAACCCTCCAATTTTTGGCTTTTTTATAATTCAAGGCTATAAAGTGCTTCCACTCATCCACCAAATTCCACTATGACGCCAGAAAACCCTGGTCTGATATAGATATATAGATACATCAGATATATATATATCAGATATCTATATCTGTATATATATCATCTATATATAGATATATATACACACGTACACAGGTAGATAGATACAAGATTCTAGATTTTTATATAAAAAGAATTATACAGTATAAACTCTTTTTGAGAGTGGGAGGAACTTGTCTTTTCACACAGTGTATGTAATTACTTTAGAATTCATTAATATTTTATTATTTTTAACTGTGTGTTCTTATAATTTCTGAGTAGCGTTCCATTGTGTGGACGTGGCACAGGTTGATTATTAATCCTCCTATGGACCGACATATGGATGTTTCCAGTTTCTTTGGCTGCTAAAAAAAATTAGTAGCAAATATTTATGTCTAAGGTTTTTAACAGACATATATTATCTTTTATAGACATATATGTATCCTTTGGTAAATAAGGAGAGTTGAAACGGTCAGATCACAGGTAATACACGTGTTTAATTTTTAAGCAATTGTCAAATTGCTTTCCAAAGAGGCATATAATTTAATTTTCCATGAGCAAATGACTTCAGTCCCTCTACTTTTTATCAAAACTTGATAGAATTTTTATTTTTACTTTTAGCCATTTCAATATGTTTGAAGTATTACTATATTGTGGTTATAACTTTTATTTCTCT